GTAATCTTGTATCAGTGTGTACACGCATCTGGGGACAGAAAATGCATACAAATAGTAAATCAACTCTTACCACTTGCTCTGAGATCCAGAACTGAGAGAGGAAGGACACGCTTGCTCAAATAATACACATGCATGTCTTTCTGTGCCCATGAAGACCTTTCCTGGGTGGTAGCGTATCCATTTGCCCTGCTGACTGATTTTTAATTCCAGGGCATGGAGTCAGGGTCAAAGCAGTTTAGTCTGCCCAAGACCCTTCTAATCTACTGTGATAAACCTTACGCTGTTCAGACTCTATTACAATGCTGTATCACAGAGCAGCTCAGCTTTCTCATCCATTAACCTATCCATTTTCTTACCGGACTATTAAGTCCTAATGGTACTTTAAATTCTTAAATTATAGTTGAGATTAATCAGATTTAAGGAAATGATTCAGAAATCACTGGGCATGTGTTGCAGAACATCACACTGGGTAATCAGAATGTCCCTTCTGGACTTGGAAGGGACAAATCAATGAATCGATTATTTTCATGCATCAATGTGTACTTTGTAAGTAAGTGTCTTCCAACAATTTTCTTGATCTTGAAAGCAAAGGAGAACACATTTCAGTCACAACAGAGGCATATGTGAGAGATAGATGTGTTGAGAAGTGAGACAGTTTGAACTGTGTCTTCTGTCCCGAGTGTGTTTCTGTTTGCAGGCTGTGTGACTGTGTACCAGCACACATGATGCCTCTCTTTGCACAAGAGCAAACAGGAAAGGGGGACAAAGCTACCCTAGAGTCCAAGAGCCTATGTCTGTTAACGCTTGCAAGTCCCCATGGCCCTTGGTTGCCCTGCAAAATTCTGCTTCGACAGAAATAGTGGTTACATTTTGCTACTTCAGATGATGAGCTTGCTCATCTGGACAATTGTCAGTGTCAGCTTGGGATGAAGGCATACCTCCTTGCTACCTTGCAGATAAGCTATCTTAGTTTCTCTTCTGCAGAGTTTAGGTGGGATGTTTGGTTTTGCTTCAGAGAAATGGTATGAAATTAGGTGTATAAGGACTGTGATGTTTCCTTTAGGATGGGGACCTGAATGGCATCTGAAAGACCTGCAGATACTGCTTGGAACCTCAGAGTGGCTCACGGTTTGGCACTGTAGGTCTTCCCTGGAGGCTGTCTCTAAGTTCATGCAGGCAATGGAGATGGTGCTTTTACTTCTGGGTATAGGAACCAGACTGCGTTGCCTGCTTTGCCTGTGCCTGAGCACTAGAAACCCAGGCAATATAGGTGAAACAGGGACTATTGCTGCCTATGGAGGAGAAACAGTAGCTTCTTCCAGTAGCAGTTTTTCTCAGCCACCAGCAGTCATGGAATTAAAAATCTTCATTACTCAGAGTGAGCCCTTCTTCCTCCAGCCCTGTGGCAGGATCAGGCCAGACTTTTGTCCTTCAGGGAGGAAAAAAGACCCAAATGTTTTTCTGATTGCCACTCAGATTTTGAGACAATTCTTCCTAGAAGTTTTTGTCTTATAAATACAAGTATTGAAGTTGATGAGAATCTCAGTGTTGATTAAACTAAGAGGACCTGTTGGTCAATATGTCTCCTTATGATCAGATGTAAATAAAAACCTCAAATGGCTCTTAAGAGCTGACCACAAGATCTTTTTCCTCTATTTTTTTTTTTAAGTAGAATGGTTTGGTATAATGATATAACTGGAATTATTATGGATAGGTACAACTGTTTGACCAAAAAAAGAGTTATATTTACTCACAGAATGGCATGAAGTACCTTCAGAAGAGTTGGTAATACAAGAGCTTGCCACGAAGAGCTCTGAAATAAAGAGAACTACCAATAACACAGATTTCCTTACAAAACAGAGGCTATTGCCTCATATGAGGTTAGGTGGTGTCCATGTTCTGGTTAAGGTGCTGCAGATTAGAGTCAGTTCATTTTCACTGGAGATGCACCAACGGTCAACTCACTGGGTACTGCCATGCTCCTAACCATTTTGGACGGATTCTGCAGTTGCTTATTAGTTGCACATATGTGGGTGTTGCCATTCCCTTCAGTGGGATGACTCATAAGGAAGTGGTCATAATATGAGTAAAGTCCTGAGCTGCATTTGAACTGAATGACCCACATTTTAAGCAGCACAGAGAGGTGAAGACCTTGTTAAGAAATCAGGTGGGCTCTCTTTCCAGACCAGGAGTGTCCTCTACAAAATACGTTTTTACTGAATACGTTTGAATCGAGAGGAAATGATATTTGATGGCAAAACCCACAAAGGATCAGTTGTATTTAACATGATGGCAAAACCCACAAAGGATCAGTTGTATAGCCTTAAAACACGTGCAAACCCAACAATGACTGAAACAATTACTTCATGATGGATAACTTTATTGCCCACCGATGGCACTTTAAACCCAGAAGGTCAGATTCTTTGTATACACTGAAGTTGCAAAGATAAACTGATTGTTCTCCTTAACCTCTCATTGTGCAGGTGAAAAAAAATTAGTCAAAATGTTCAGGATAACTGGAGTGGTTGGAAGACAGTCACTCAGCCTCAAATTATGAAGAAGATGTTAAAAGTAAAAGGCCACCAAAACTGTGAACTTCCAGGAAATTTTTAATAACTTCTAATATCTAATGTTTTTATTTTATTATTTTTTTTTTAACTACACCATAAAGCTAGCTTTTGAGTTTAGTTTCTTTAGTCAAAGGTAGCAGAAATTCACAGTGTATAAAAAGAAATTTAAAAGTAAAAGCTGGAAAAATCGAAATGAGGATAACAATCCTGAAGGTGGTCCAAATTTTAAGTTTGGCAGATCTATCTTTTTAAGAGAAATTGAAGTTTAGCTAAAATCAGTGAAAGGTAGAACATGTGTGCATGGTTAGTCAGATATCTGTAGAACTGAACTCACACATCACTGGAAAAATATATACATGTTCATTTGGGTTATCTTTTTTTTTTTTTTTTAAAATTACTTGTAGTCCGTGTCTCATCCTACAAGGAGCAGGGAGTTGGACTTAATGATCCTCATGGGTTCCTTCCAACTTGAGATATTCTATGATTCTATGAAATTTTTGTTTCCTTCACTCAGGAAGAGCATCACCTTTTTTGCAAGAAAATAGTTGAAGAAAGTTTATCCTTCTCTTCCTTTGCAAATTACAGATTATACTCTCTGCTTTTTAAAAAAAATATTTCACCTTCCCTTATTTCAGACAGAATGTCCAGCTTTTGCAATCTAAATAGTGTTTGTTCATTAATTAAGCAACCCTGTTGACAGACTTTCACATGTATCTAATAAGCCTTCCGAAACAAATAGAATATGCCAAAAAAAATCACCCCTTTCCCTATGGGAGGAGATTCCTCAGTTATCAGGATTAATTAGTTCTCTTGTTGTCACATGAAAAGAAGTTGCACCCCCCAATGTAGGTCAGTGTGAGGGTAGGCTGCTGATGGTCGCTTAGTGACAGGCACAATGATAAGTGAACGTGTCCTGTTGAGCCATGACCCTTCAGAAAAGACAGTGTCAAGTAAAATGCTTAGAGAAGGTACAGAGAAGGCATAATCCGCTTCTAAATATTGACAGTAGGAATTTCCCTGCTATTCTCCTTCCTTTTTCTTTTCTGGTAAACATGTCAAACTCTATTGCGTTTGTACCTTGCATCAGTTTTGAAGCATTTAAAAATGTAAGGAAGCTAATGACCCATGAATAGATAGGATGTCAAATAAAGCTATTTTTCTTCAAGACTTAGCATCTTGCTGGTAAAAGCATTGTCTCGCATACTTGCAAAAGCAACAGCGTTGGCTAGAAAGAGGATCTTTTCCTTCAGCTTTTTGCCAGTGAAAAACTAAATGAATGAATATATAACAAAACTGATATATGATGCCAAATACATTGATGTTAGGTCTTGAATGTTAATATGATTAACCACTGGAGTTAAGTGTCTAAAATATACTTGAAATCGATGATGAAACTCTGGCTTATATTAATGGGAGCAAAGTTAAACAAACACTAAGCACTCCTTAGGATCCCACCCATAATCACAGAATCCCACCCATAATATTTACAAATACTGCGGTGTCTTTTATATATACGTAATATGTGTAAAAGGGCAAAAGCTTGAATATGTATCCGGTATACTTGCCTGCAGAATGGGGTGAAAAGATCTGGGTTGGGTTTTTTTCATTTGATTTTCATAACTCTAAGGCAGATCTTCTGACATACAGGCTTGCAAGCTGTCTTGTTTCATAGGCTCAATTTAGGATAGGTGTTGAGATTTTTCATGTGGACATCTTTGCTTATATGACTGTAGAGTTATCAAGAGAAAAGTTTGTAACATTTATAATGGTTTCTTGCCCTTCGCCTTTGGCAGACTTTGAAAACAACAGCAGCCCACATTCCCAGGGCTGGTCCCCTGGTCTCAGCATGGGTCAGACGCGGGCATGGTGCTGCATGGCTGGCTTTGCTCCTGGGCAGGGTGCCGGTGCTGGTGCTGAGCAAAGCTGAACACTCAGCACTGCAGTCATGACCAGGCACTGCAGACTTGCTCTCCTGCCTTGCTCTCAAGCGTCTGTCACTCACATGGATTTTCTACCTTTCCATAAGTTTTACACTGGAAGCAACCTACATGTTGCTCTCTAGCAACTGGATTTGGTGTTGCAACTCCAGCAGCTGGGCTTTGATCCCAACGGGTTCCTCTCGCAGACCATTACTGATGTTTTTTTCATACACATTGAACCATTTGTAGACACAGTTGTGTGCTTTTAGCTTTTCTAGAGCCTGAAATAAAGAGCAATTCAGGAAAGCTTGAGGCCAGACTTCCCCCAGAAGTAAGGAACGAGATTCATAAAGCTGGATATAAAATCTACCTTCTTGGGACAGCATCTGAGCCTCCAGTTCTGGGATGATAAGAGGAATACAAATGAAATGCAGGAACATAGTAGTTTCGTGAAACTGTCAGATTGTTTAGTTGGAGGACATTAACAAACCCTCCCAACAAAAGTGCCTAGATTGCTCTTCAAGAAGCTGCCTAAACAGCTTATCTCTTGTAGCATCTTATCTCAATTTCTCAGTGTTTAGCTTCAGGGACATTATTTCAGAATAGCAAATGAGTAGACTCATAGACTGTAAGTGTTTGTGGGAGACTACCCCACAAAAGCACTGGGCGCTTTTTGGGAGACCCACCATTTCAGAGTTAAGATCCATAAATGGTAGGTGAGAAAAATGTATGTTTGCAATGTATCACATAACAGATTGCTTCTTCGAAGATTTGCTGCATCTTTTTTCTCCCCTCTTAAAAGCTGGCAGAATATATTAATTTCTAGTTAGAAGTACGATTGTCTAGACAAATGGCAGAGGATGTCTGTGTATTTGTACAGTATTGCAATTAAAATTTCTGGTAATATTTGTGGTGCAGTTCAGAGGACCTATTTATTCTGAAAACTTGTTATGCCCTTGCTTGAAGTCTGTTTAAGTGAGCTATAATTTAGTTTACATCTATGTTTAAGTGTACCCTTTAGATCTTGTTTTGAATAGGGGTGAGTGATAGTGTATACAGGCAAACTACTAGAGCTACAGTTTAAATAAGATATACAGAGCTAAAAAGAAAAATGCAGATAAATGTAACTAACTTAGATGCCAAAGGTTAGTTAAAAGTTAGTTAACTCCTACAGTGTACATTTCCTATATTGCTAAGGAAGAGAAACAGGTCTCTGAAGATCTCCATCAAACAGGATTGAAGATCTAATCAGCTCTTTGCTTGTTTTCGTGGATTGCGCTAGGTAGCCCCAGAGCATGATTCAGACTTCTGTCTCCACTGATGTTATAGGGAATCCATAAGAAATACTTACTGACAAATGGAGCACAGCTGAGTTCTCAAAAAAAACCCCCAACCAACCCAAAAAACAGCAGATGTGAGCAGTCCTTCTTTACCTTTCATACAAAATCCTTGTACTTTTTAGCATCTCTCTCCAAAAGTGGAGACTTGACTTCTAGGCCTTTCTCAGACTGAAGGAGTTCAAGCCCACATCTCAGAACAAAGTTTTGATATTCAGCCTCTGATCTGAGGCTACATCTGCTGCTGGGTAAAAGCTGCTGCATTTGGAGCAGCCATTGACTTTGGAGGGTTTATACAGCCAAAATTTAGCCGTCAATCTCAGCTAGAGTTGGTGTCCAAAAGCACCTTCTATAGTCAATAAAAGAAGGAGGCCTTTCCAGTGCGGGATCTGTAGCAGCCAAATAAGGTTCACATACTTCTACTGTGTTTGGTGCATACAGCTGTTCGTAGTTGGCTGTTGCAGGGACCTCTTGGAAGGGCTTAAAGTAGCTAAACTGAAACTGTACTTGACTGCGTTCTAGTGGAAAATCTCCATTACCCTTGTTTATATGATCCTGCTTCCCTCATGTGTTGGCAAAGAAATACTTTCTCTTGGAGTAAAGTGATCTGGGGTACTCTCTGCTCCTTTTTCACGACACTGAAATCTCCACAAATTGCACTACAGTCCAGGTTTAGACTTAAATTGGTTTTCAACTTTAACCGTTTCAAAATATTTCCTTGTTATGTTCCTTCTGGAACACTTTCCTGCCAGTGCAAGGGCAATGGGATGGATCAAGGACTGTTTCTTCTCTAAGGCGTGAATTTCTGTCTGCTTGCCATGAAAGCTTTTGTGGCCATAGCCTATTATAGGGCAAAGATAAAACATTATGCCTTTCCAGCACTTGCTGGCTTGATGAGAGGGAAGGTCTGGTGTTCCTTGAGTCTTCTGACTGTGGCACTTTTTCATGGACTTCCTAAAAACTGCCTTCACATGACTTGTGAAAAGCCTGCCTGGATGTTTTCAAGTGTCCTAAGCAATCTCATATTATACTAACACTGAGGTTTTCATCCATACCAGAATGGTCTGGCCATGACCAGGGCCAAGTTGGCATGCTGGCTTTCTCAATAGCAGCAAACCTGGTCCGGCGGGTGCCTTGAGCTTGTTCTCAGAATTTATTGTAGAGCTGTCCGGTTATCTTTTGACATCACTGGTAGAAAGTCTGCAGCTAGTGAGGGACTGTAGGTAACAGTGCTGCGACCTTCAGTCAGGAAGGGAAGATCCTAAATCCCCTTTCACTCCTTGCAGAGCAGTTCCAGCTTTGCGGCAAGTCGTTTGAGTGAGAGTTCAGTATCTTAGAGGTCATTCTGTAGCTCTTGCCATGGAAGTCGCCGGCTTTTGCTCTTCCCATTGAAAGGGCTGCCATGGTGGTGTTTCCTAAGGAAACCCAGGCAGCGGTGCATGAGAAGACGTTTCCTTGGTTAGATGGGTATCCGCAAGGTCCTGAACTTTCTTCATGGTATGCTCAGTGAACAATCTGAGGGTAAAGTCATTGACTAAAACTTGCATAGCTTTCATTTCTACTTTCTTTCCTGAGTAATTCTCACGGAAAATTATGTGAATCCTGAGTCAGAACAGCAGGATTGCTCTCAGAGTGAAAGAGCATGTGTGGTGAGGGGGACATCCCCTTTTCTTTGCTTTCCCCTTCCAGTATAACATCATACTTGTAAGTGGACTGGAACAGGATGATCTGTCATTGTTAATGTGTTTTTTTTCTTTGTTTTTCTAGGATCTAGTTCAGGATCAAAATTAAAAGTTCCTGAGCTGAGCATAAATGGCATACATCACGTTGTTCAAGCAGGCCAGACTTTAAATCTCACCTGCAGGTAACCAGCTGAGTTGGATTCTGATAATTTGGCTGGGAGTTCATACACCTGACACTTTCTTTTTTTTTGTAACTGAAAATAGAAAAAACTGAAACCTTATGTTGTGGGGAAAGGTGGGGAGTGAACTTCAATGGCAATTGTTTAATAGTTCTTTGTTGTTTCTGTTGTTGTTTTTGGAAAACAAGATAAAAGAGAACCCCAGAAATAGCCTGATATAATAAAAAAGAAAGCTTGGGAACTAGAGCTATATAATTGCAGCCCAACATAATTGTTTCTGCTTCCTTATCTGTATTTGCAGGGGGGAAATGGTTCATTCATGGTCTTTGCCTGAAACTCTAAGTAAGGATAGCAAAAGGCTGAAAGTAATTAAATATGCCTGTGGAAGGAATGGGAAGCAGTCCTGCAGCAGTCTGACCTTGAGCAGAACTCAAGCAAGTGACACTGGAAACTATAGCTGCAAATACCCAACAAGTCCAGTGAAAAAGAAGAAGGAATCTACAGTCTATGTATTTGTTAACGGTAAGATTATGTTTTTTAACACTTCTTGGCACTTGCACTTCAATGCAGCAAAATGGGTAAATAAGGCAGTTCAGCTGTGGTTAGTTTTGAGTGATATTTTCAGCCTTGCAAAATGTCACAATAATTTATCAATTAATGTATAAAATCTGCATTCTCAGAGCTTGCAAATACAAATGCTAGTGTTTTATCCATTAGGAAATAAATGAGGAAAGAAAAAGACCCAGTCCAAGCAGTCTGCTAGAGTAAATAGAACTCCACATGGAAGTAGACGAGAAGTGAATCTGTGAAATGAGTATCAGAGAAATCATATCTTACAGAATCGGATGATGACTGATGAAAACCATATGTTGGGTACGATGTCCACTTTAACCTGTCTGTGTAAGATTATAGACTTCTAGGCAGCTGAAAGATGCCAAAGTTATATATCCAGATTGCTGAATTATCTTAAGCTGTAGAAAATTACTGTTTGCATGTTAAGTCACATTCAAAGATGTACTCTGCAGTCCACGTTACACAGACTGTAAAAATCTAGAATAAATGGAATCAAACTAAACACAGAATTGTGTTCAGCAAACAAGTATTGTGTCATGTATGGGAAATGCTGGAATTAGGTCAGTTAGGTTACAACAGAGATTGTTTTCTGATCCTATTTTCTTCCAGGATATTAATCAGACACTTCTCAGAACAGTTGAATTCAATAGATACAATAATAAAAGAAGAAATTATAAATGCTTTAGAGATTTAATTTAATTTTGTATTCTAGTGTTTCTTGATTTTTACAGAATATAATCAATAGATTACTGTAAGATATCAGGATTCAAAGATTTTGAAAGCTCATATTACAGAGAATGTGCAACTGGAAGTTTTCCAAATTATGTGTCTGCTGCTTCTAATGAGTTCACATCAGAGTGAATTAGCCTTTGTTTTCATTTTGTGACACAGAGAGTGAGACTGGTGCTGTAAAAAACCAGAATGATGTGAACCTCTCACTACAGTGAATAAGATAGCTCCCCTCATTACTGTGTGTTGCTTTAGTGAGAATTATTAAATAAGTCATGCTGTTCATCTTGCTTTCCTTCTTCTTTATTATACCACAGCCTGTTTTTCTCACCCAACTATTTTCATATAATCCACTGGATATCCCACTACAGATTCATCCATGGAAGCATAACCAAAGTAGGTTATTCATTTAGTGACCAACATTTCCTGCTGCCTAGGAAAACTTACAATTTTCTTGGATGACTTTTACAAGTTTCCCATCCTGGAACCTTCTTGAACCTCCCACCTTGGATGTCATCTCTATCTGAGATTTACCCATAATCCTCTCCATTCACCACATGAGAAGAGCAAAGATGGTTGTGACTCTGACTGAGAACTTCTCTGCTAAACCCACTTTACGATATAAGAGATTCCTTTAAGTTCTCCTGGTCTCTTTCCTGTTTGAAGTGTTAATTTTTCTGGATTCCCAATTTTTACAAATGGAAGACACAACTAGTCTTTCTACACTGCTTTCCAAGTTGTATGTAGCTTGCTTGCATCTGAAAGAGATCTTAATTAGATGTATGCGAACCAAGGTTATCTGTACAAGTCACATGGTGACGGAAGAGAAACGTATCACTGGAGAAGTAGTTTTGGTACAGCTCTCCCCTCCTCCCCAATAATCAGTTAAGGAAGACTGCCTGAGTGTCTTGGTTTTGTTGATTTTTCAAGGACATTCAGTCATTAGATGTTGACATTGCTGTTGAAGATGGCATTAGATTACATTTCTCCTCCTACTTTACTTGCCAAAAACCAGTAAATGTTTAAGGGACAAACCTGTATCAAGCTTAGACCTATTTAGCATCTTAATTTTCTGAATTTGATGATCCTTTTGATTGAAAGCCAATTGCTTAACACTTAAGTGTTGATTGTTTTCTAGTAAGCACATATGAGAGTCAGGGCAAACTACTGTTAATGAGGGAGGCTGCAAGGTAACTGCTCATTTAATGCCTGTTGAAAGTGTCATTCTGCTTCAAGGTGGGGAAAGGTATTCTAGTCCTCCAAAAACATGCAATTTCAGGAAGAATTGTTGAGTAGGTTGAAAAGAAACGAGATATCGAGTACCAAAACTCACCCCTTCGGATCAGTGTAGCATTAGCGTTTGGAAGGAGAATACTCAAGGAATCTCTTAATATAAGTCATTGTTTCTGGGAACATGCATGAAATTCAATTATCTGGCTCAAGTAGGAGTGAGGTGGGGATAAGAAAATCCTCTACTACAAAGATTACCTTTCTTGAGTTTAGTTTTATGTTAAATGAATTTGTAGGTGCTTAGTAAATAAACATTTGTAAAATTTGGGTCCCTCCTAGTTTTCTATTGTTTCCTGTGTCAGGATGTTGTGTCAGTTCATTTCCCATATTAGCTCCATGTGGATCACCCAGGTGCCTGTTTCCCATGTTTTAGCATGCTGCAGATGAGAACAAATTGTTGCTATTTACAAACTCAGAATCTGAATCAGGAAAGTTGATATTGTTTGTACAGGAAGTTATCACTTATTGTTTTTAAAATGTTATTCATTTCCGTAATTAGAGTGATACTGAATATGAACTGGAGTTTAAAAAACCCAATAAACCTAGTAAGTCCTTTGGTTCAGTAATAAGTGTATGCTACGGCAGAAGATGAGCTTCTATAGATAAAACCAAGATGCAAGACAATGAGTAGGAGACTGCAAGTCCCACATGCCTCAGGGTGACTAGAAGCATTTCTGAAATCCTGTGTTTGGGTGATCAAGAACAGGCTGGCTGGTGACATTTCTTTCAGGAGCTAGTCCTGACACCACCCTTCTTTCAGCTGGAGAGGTCACTACTGAGTTGTACAGGGGAGTGAGCGCACAGTATATGCGGCAGCAACTCTTGACCACACACAGCTCAGGAATTGAGACATCAAGCGAGGGAAATAAATTCCCTTAAGAGCCTTGGACTTTGCTCTAAGAAAACTGATGGCCTGACGTCCACCATGAGCCATAGGAAAAATCTGAAATTAAGCAAAGCCTCTTTGCCAATTTCTTCACTTGGACCAAAAGCTGCTCTGATCTTTGCTTTGTTATGCAACTGCAGCCTAGTAGTAAAATGGAAATATTCATAATGAACACTCAATGCATACATTGGAGTGAAGCATGGGGAATTTTCTGCTTGAAATGAGATAATTGTGGAGTAAAGACATTTAAGAAATACCGAATTATCAGTAGGCTGTTTTGAAATCTAGGTAGATTTCCCTGGGGACAGTGCTAAAGGCTTTTCTTTCTGCCTGCCTTTGTTTTGGTATCTCCAAGACACTCTTTTCCAGTTGCTGGAACTCATTCGCTTTCATCAAAAATGTTCAGTTCTCTTCATTCTCTACTCTTGTCATCTCTTGCCTTTGATCAATTGTTCCCATGGTATGACAGAGGAAAAGCATTTAAGTTCAATTACATTGATATATCAAGGTTAGATTTTTGCAAGAATTTAGACAAACTTTGATTCAAGTTGAAATGTTGCTGCTTCCTGTGATGAAGACAGCTTCCAGCTATTAATATACAAAATTAATGTCTTAATTCTGCTACAACAGAGAATTCTCCCCTAAGTGAAGTTGTACTTGCCTTTAGAGTATTAGCCCACTTCCTAGTAAGTGTCCGCCCTCTCCTTGTCTCTCCTCACTCTCCTGCTGTGCATATCTTCTGACCGCATATTTTTCCTTGCAAAATGAGACATGTACGGGTACTTCAAGCACCGTTCAAAATATTCTGTTTTAAACTCAGACGTCTAGGCTGAGTCAGTTGTCTATTCTCTTTCTGTACTTAGCAGAGAGCAAAAAGGACCTTCTGGTACGTATTTCTTCTCACTGACTTTACAAAGAATCTGAAGAACAAGCTTAGAATAGATGTCTTGCTTTGAGATGATTTAAGTCAGGTGAGGCAAATCAGAGCTGGGTAATTAAAAGTACAAGTCCTGAGAATACTTGTACTCACCAATGCCTAGAATGTCAAACATGTCTACTAGTTTTGTATATTTGACTTGAGACATGTTTCAGATTGGACAGTTCAAAATGAAGGGCTTTGGCATTAGTGAAAGGCTCAAAATTTAAGCTTTTGAAGTGCCAAAACATCTGGGGGTTTGAGTGCATTTTCAAACTCTAGAGTTGTATTCTGCAAGTGCTGAGCGTATGTCATCTCCTCAGGAGGTCCACTTGTTGACAGATAGCTGGATCCAGCCCCAGAACTGACATGGATTGAAGATTTGGCTTGAATGGGTTGACTCCTGTAACCCTTAAGGTACTATGTTGTAGAACAAGGATGGCATCCAAAGGGCTCCCCAAAAGGGAAGAGATCAGCAGCGTTAAAGTCAAAATAAATCAACAAGTGAAAAAAGCAGCAAGATAAAACACCCTGAAAGCTAACAGAAAGGGAGAATTTCTTCTTCTTTTTTGTTTCTCTTCATCTTATTCAGAAATAACGTAGTGACAGCAGAACCCGCTGAGGCCTGAGAAACTCTCCCTGCCCTGTGCCTTTCTTACATCTTTGCTTTTGGCACAGTTTTAACGTGTGAGCAGTACGGTTTTGGCTTACGCTGTCAGAGTCAATAATACGATAGTGCTTCTGTTATGAAAAGGAAACTAGTTGAAACTAAACTATGCTACAGCTGTAGCAAGTATGCGGACACAGTTTTAGCATCTAATGAGGTTCCTGTTACAAAACGGAGCCCTCTAGGACTTGCTGACGTCAATCATCTATAATTGCCGTGCTTTTGTCGTGTGTACATGGACTTCACATCATAGTACACTGTGTTGAGTGGAGCATGTGTGGATGCCTTGGCAGCATTGAAGGCCACGCGCTAAGTCCTCCGAGGTACTTCTTCCTCACCAAGGCTTGTAGCTCCTACTGAAACAGAAATGTGTTTCTAAGATGAACCGTCGTGAGAGAGGGATACATCTGAAAAAGTGTTCCTAATGTCCATTAGCCTTTCTGGATATCACTTTCTGAATA